ACGAAGTCATTTGTATACTCCATGATAGAATTTAATTGTTTAATGGAAAAGCTTTTGCAAAGAAACAATACTCATGAATGAAACAATGGCAAGGATCTGACGAAACGAGAGGCTGAAAGTTTACAACCATTGGGATAATAAATTGAAGGAGTATTTTACACGATATGAAAATGGTACTTTGTCTGAAACTGAACTTGCAATTAAATGTGGCAAATGTGTTAATACTTTAAAATTACCTGTTTCATTGTAACGCGTAAATAAAATAATAAATGTAACTTATAAAGCCATCTTTCAATTTCTTACATTATCTTAATGAATTATATTAATATTAATTATTTGATAGAAAAAACAATGAATAGTTATAAAATGACTAGAATGCTAGAAAAATAAACGGAACGAAACAAGTATGGGACGAAATGAGAGTAACCCCTTTGAATACTCTGTTGAATGGTATATAATTTAAAAACTTCGCTAAACCATGGATAAGTTATAGTTAAAACTATTAAGGTATACATTCCGGAAGTTATTCGACACCCAAATAAACTCATTCTCTACACAAAACACGTATCCCAACTACGCCTCATAAATAAACTAAATATCCCAAATATCCAAAATACACAAAATATACTAAACACCCTAAATATCCTAAATATCCCAAATACCCTAAATATGCTAAATACCCTAAATATCCTAAATATAATAGGATATTTAGGGTATTAGAATTTTTAGGATATTTAGGGTATTTACGAAATTTAGGATATTTCCAGTATTTAGGATACATAGGATATTTAGCGTATTTAGGATATTTCCGGTATTTATGATACATAGGATATTTCCGGTATTTAGGATACATAAGATATTTAGGATATTTAGGGTATTTGGGTTTTTTTGTGCGGGTTTGCGATGTTTAGTGTGTAAAACTCGTTTCTGTTATTCAGGTTATTTAAAATGTTTGTGGGTGATAGGATATAAGGGTTGTTTAGGATATTTCCAGTTTTGATGTCGTTGCGAAATTTTGTCGGTTTTATGTTTTGTGTTTTTTGTTTGTCTCATTGCTGTTTATTTTATGGAAATGTAATGAAAAAAATGAAATAAAAGGTGAAGCTAAGATGTTTTAATGTGTTTGGTTTGTTGATATGAATTGGGGTATGACTGTGGCTCCAGTTGCTTGTTCATCCGGTCGTAACCCAGTTGTTGTACAGTTTTTTTTAAGTGTAACAGAAGTAAATCGAACGTGAAGGATTTGGGGTAATTGTAGGCTTGGAATGAATGTTTGAATTTGGTAAAGTAGGAAAACATACGTTCACAAAGTGATGAATCAATTCCGTTGAAAATACCACGATGACTTGGGTCATCGGCTCTCATTGTTGTTTTACACATCCGTCTCTTGTGTCCGGGCTGATGGAAGCGATCAATGGCTAATGCCATTTCTTTTAAGAAACGACTGTTATCCGTCCCTGCCAAATATTGTGTGCCAAACCAATTGTCAATGAAAAGTCTCAGAGTACAAGCGCAGTCATATAACATTGCGGGCGGTAATGGACCGTGACGTAAGATACGAATGATGTGCCGTAGAATACGGCGCATGCCTTCACTTCTGGCAGATTCGTCGAAGCCAACAACGACGCCGCAATTCAAGAATGTGGCGATGGAACCGAAACTCTGTAGTTTTTTAGTATTTTCAAGTTCATCTCTATACACATTGCATAGCGAATCACTTTGATCTAATTTCGATAAAAAGTCGTCATCAATTTCGTCGGATTTGTTTGCTTCATTGGTATCACACATATCGTCTTCCATGTTTTGTGCTTGTATCTGATGGTAAACGCAATATTGTTTGTCAAAACCATCTACGTACACAACAGAAAGAAGAGGACAACAATAATACGAAAAAGTTTGAATAAAAAAAAGAAGGGTGTATAGCTCGAAATCCCTTATGCTCTTGAAAATTCATGTTCACTTGTTTGTCTCAGTTTTTCCCCCAAAACTGATCATTTCATCGAGATGTAAAATGATCGATAGCGTATGTTTCTATGATTTTCCAGATTCCGTCGGGGTATTCTAATATGTGAAAGATACATTACTGCAACGTCATGTTCATGATAATTCCATACCGTGAGATCATGGGAACGTTTAAACGGAACATGTTCACATAACAAGACAAATTTCAATAGTAATTCAACTAAAAGAAAGCTTATTGTGAGTTAGAGAAACAGGAAATTATCATTTTTTATCTTTTCTTACCCATTCGTTGGTAAGTATGACATTCAACATCGCAATGGGTTTTGCCTAATTGATTGCCATTAATTTGCAAATCAAAGGTCTTTGCAAATGAAATTAGACTTGATCCAATTTGTTCGATGCTTTGATAATCAGACGACGATGGTGAATATGTTTGTATAATATTATTTATTGTATCTTTGTATCTTTCTTGATATAATGCTTTTATTATGAGATTATGTGAAGTACAAAATAACCTTTTAAAACCAGGCTGACCTTTGATTATTGACAGTAATGTTGGTTTTGAACCAGTAAATAAATAATTATAAACTAGAATAAGAACAGTAGATATAAGAGATAAGGTCATAACATATTACCAATGCAAACGATCGGTAATTATATTCTCATCTATAAACAAATGTAAATATATCATAATATATTTGAAATGGATAGGTAGAAAATACTACTTTCTTACGGAATTTGTGTCTGTGAGAAAATCTACTCTTGGGTTACTTTTGAGGTTAAAATCAGATTGCGACTTCACACAACGAGTGATTGCAAATGATAAAATCAGATTATAAGATTAATAATTATTTTCCTTTCGCAAAGTATCTTCGAATGTTTTCTCCTTCTTTATGACCAACAAGAACAACTACACGCTTAAACTGTAGTCGATTTGTTTTCGATACCTTTGTTAGACATATTTGAAATATCCATTCTTAACTGATTACTTTGGACTAACGGTCTAGATAATCTTATTGTCAAACGATAATTATAATTGAGATCTAAATTCCATTTTTGTGATAATAGAGAAAGATCACGTTTAATCGTGTAAGCGTTCAAGGAACTTATTTTCGTCTTTCCTAATACATCCGTAAAACTATGTAAAAAACCAATATGATCACATGCTTCTGTAACAAATTTTGAATGATGCAAACCATAGATCTGAAGTATCTACTGATGCACAGAAGAAAAAAGCTACGCAAATGCTTCCTGTAGGCCTGGGATAGATGTCGCCAGATAGCAGTCAACTGATAATACAAAAAAAAGTGGTCTTTGGATAGTAAAAATGACAGTGTATAAATAATCTATTATAGCGAGCCGATTAGAAATGCTTCCAACCTTCTGGAGATTTAAGAGGCTGTTCAGAAAACCTTTTAGCTGTATATTACATTAGATGGTTTTTTGGTGAAATCCGAGAAGTTCACAGCGTTTCTTATCTCTACTGGCTGCGAACGCCGACCGAAGCGAGGCGTGAGCATTGTCTTCGATCTAAAAGTCGCAAAACGGCGTTAACTTGCACAGATCCAAGTTACAGAAATCAAAGGAAGATGAAGGTGAAGACGACCGTTACCTTGTGACTTTAGTCTAGGGTATTACAAAATAGTTGTCTGTGTGTATGCGCAAAATGTGGAAAAATGCCTGTCAGATATTCTATGGATAAGCGAATCACAAGAGAGAGAAGTAGAAAATTATCTTTTACATAAGGGCAAAAATTTTCAAAAAGATGACCGAAAACATAATTACCGATGCAGAGAGAAAAAAAAACTAAGTAAACGTTTCTGTACTTGGAAGATAGATGTCCCCAGAAATCAGTCCATTTTGATAACACAAAAAAAGTGATCTACGGATAATAAAACTTACAGAATACAGATAGTCTATCATGGCGCATTGATCAGAAATACGTGCAGCCTCCCTTCGGATCTTCAGTGGATATCCAGAAAACTTTTTAGCTTTATATTACATTGTGCCTTTGTCTCTGAAATCACATAAATTCAGAACATTTCTCAGTTATGCTGGGTTAAAATACGCTAGGGCTCACAATCACAAGCCCAATCTTACCAACACCTATTTTCATAAACGTAGACAGCGCTTTCTCATAATCGCTTTTAAGCAAACCTTCTTCGTTCTACTCAAGAATTTGGTAATAAACATCTTTGAACTATTTGCACAGCTCCAACAACTCAACAAGCTCAAGGTGGCGGTAGGTTGTTCACTTTCCTCTCTTGTCTCTATAATTTGTTTACTGCGAATAAAAACTCTTTCAGTTACTGACACAGGTTCTTTCAGTTTCTGACACAGGACTCTAGTTCTTTATGATTCTGGGGCTTCATTCAAAAGATGGGATGGATTATACTTTGGACAATGGTTAGTCTGAGACCTATATGCCCAATTTCCACTTTCTTTTCCTGAAATTTCCTGACCTCGCCACGTTGCTACAATTATTCAGCTCATTAAACATCCTCAAACTTATAATCAACTTACGTTCAGTAAACCTCAGGAAAAGAAAGTGAAAATTGGGTCCGTAGGTCTCAGACTGACGATTGACCAGAATGAAGTGCATACTATCTCATGACTGAACTCTCAGAATAATATAGAATTATAGTGATGTAGAATCAGCTTTCGATAGTGCATCCGAATATGATATCAGATTTTAATTTCAAGATAAATCATTTTCGGAGAGTAGTCTCGCTCTCCGAATAATAAAGAATTATAGTGATTTGAAATCACATTGTTGTGGTTTACATGGTTGGAATCACATGTCAACTCTTAAAGAAACTTTTTCCGAGACTCTTCTAACTGACTACAAACTTGTGTAACTATGAAAAAAGGAATAGGTGGAATGGAAAGGATAGGTCCGTACAGCCATATTGGGCTATTGGGCTTTTTCAAGTTGTTTCAATTTGCTTTATACATAATTTGACAGAATGTGAGACGCTGAACATTTTGATGCATATAACAAAGGAATTTTACTTCAGGACGAAGAGCTGAAGGTCAGGATAAACGGCGGTATCAGATCAGACACTATTGTCCACTTAATTTCCGCTTTGAGAATAAACTGAGAGATGTAACGTATCTCCTTTGAAAGCTCTCGCGTTTTACTATATTTTTAATATATTTGAAGCGTACCCCAAAGAGGTGATAGAGGTCAGGTATCTAAAAATCAAAATTTTCAATCAGGTGGGGAAAGACGCTCGACTTAATGTGTCATTACATTTGAACCCATTCTAAGACTGGCCAATGGTATTGATAATCCAGGACTTGGCCATTCAAGTGGTGGATATAATGCACTTCGTTCTTGATCGTAATCTTGATAAAGGAGCTGGCTAACAGGATTCGGCACATAAACAACAATTGAAATATAAGCTCTCATATCTTGGTTCGTACGTAATACTGCTGAAACTAGTGTATATCGAATAGCAATACCATGATATGGGGAATAGATACCACCAACTGATATGAGTTGCATACGAGCACTGATTTCTTTCTTAACGGCTGTCATGAAAGTTTCCGTACAAAATGTTCAGGCCGACAAAGTCACTTAGATGCCTCATTTTAAAAAAAGATTTGACACAGTTTTGTAGCGCAGGAAATTCTCTATCGAGCGGTATATGTATTCCCGTGGC